AGCTATAGTGTGAGTCTTTGTGAGTGTAATGTATTTAGAACAGTAAGAACACCTCCAGCATCTAGCTTCATGAGAAAAGGATAGTTCCAAAAGTGAAGATCAACTTCTCCCCCATCCCCAGGCCATGCACACACATTCAACATCTTTTCCCATGTGAGTGCCTAGTATTTGAAAAGAAACCAAAAGTTCAACCCCTGAGATCAAAAAGGTACATGGACTATAATCACTTCCTGATGTGCATTAGCTGCTAGCTCAAGCAAAGAAGAGTGGACAGTGGGCTCTCTGGTGGCCTAGGACTGAAGTCTCAGTGCTATCACTACAAAGGCCTGAGTTTGATCCCTGGCCAGAGAGGTCACTCACATGGAGCTCAACAGGCCTCTTCTGTCTGGCCCGCTGCTCCATGGTATTTCAGTAGTGTATTTCAGTAGATCCTCACTTCTGTTCCCCTATTCTGTCTCTTATGAATCCTCTCTCTCTCACACACACACCCAGCCCCTGGCCTACACCCCAGTTCTCCTGCACAATAATAAAGAATAAAAGAAAGAAGAAGAGTAGACTGAGACAGGGCATCAGTATGTCTTAGGACTAATCTAGGAAGAAAGATCAGTCATGGCAAGATGAACAGGATGGAAGGAGGCTGGTTGCTGAGGATGTTGAGATACAAACATTTGCATGGGTCAAGTAGGTCCTTGACACTAAGGAGATCTAAGACCTAATATGAAAGCAATGGGCTGAACAGCCAGATGGAAAGCTTGGGTTAGGGAAACCATCACTTTCTTCTTAACCTACTGTGCATGTGTGTGTGCACGCATGCACGCGCTCCTCAACTGGAAAACCTGATTAGAATTCAGTCCCACCTAATTCTTCCCTTACTGTCACAAAAATATGCCCATTTCTGCTTCTCCAGGAGATAATGGCAAGATCCAAGACTGAGGTCTCTTTTGAGTGTTTTATTGCTCCAGGAGAGTACCAAGTACACAGTAGGTGCTTAATGCTTACTTTTTAAAAAATTAAATTATGCCAAATCCATTTTTTCTTTTATATATTCATATTTTGGAATCCTAAATTCCTAATAAAGTTCCCTCCACAGCAAATGTGTAATTTTTGTGTATTTTCTCCTTCTTTTTTGGCAATCTTCCTGTGTTTTTAACCAACATTTTGTCACTGAAACACTTAGACTTTAATGAGAATATCTGGAATCCCCACCCCACCCCCTTCCATCACCCTCTATCTATTTCCTTAGGTGCTGGGGGGAGACAATGATGTCGCTCTCATCCAGTCTCAGTTTGGACTTTGCTTGATAAAGTCAATTATCTTAATAGTTGACCCTCCCTGACAGCACTCTATAACTAGCCTGAAAACCCTTCTGATTAGTTCAATGGTCAGAGAAATAAGAAGAAGATTTACTAAATGAGTGACAGAAGAGCTTTTGACTATTCTACAAATAACTTATACCCAAATGCAACATTGGGGAGGGTAAATTGAATTTGGTTAGAGTCAGAGTATCAGAAACAAAGGACTACTGCTGATCAATCTTTTACAGAGCTGAATTTTCTGGGTCCACACCTCCTTTTATTCTGCTTGAGCTCCAGCCCCGCCTGCCCCGGAGGTGACCACATGGCGCGGCAGACCTCTCCTGACCCGCCCCGCTGCTCCCCTCAGCAGTGTACCTCGTCCGATCTGCCTGTTCTGCTCCCCACTCTGTCTTTGGTGAATCCTCTCACCCTCCGCATCTCTGGCCTGTACCCCAGTTCTGTACGAATAAATAAATCTTAAAAAAAAAAAAACCCTGCTATACAGACTTTAAAATTATGAAATTATGATATTAAGTTACTTCAGGAAGAAACAAAGAATAACTTTCTTTTCAGCATTACTCTTTAGTTACTATTTAGCGCTTTTAGTCATCTGAGAAAGTAATCCAATACTGAAAAAGATAGCAAATAGTTATTCTGAGATGTCATCTATAAGTACTTTAAGGATCCTGGATCCCCAAAGAAGGCTCTTTTTGAAAAGTGAGAATTATTATCAGAGGCAGATGAACTGCAACAGATAATAGTGAAGTGCGGTTTGTAAAATATATTAACACTGGGTAAATATGTACATTTATTTCCTTTTTTTTTATGTGCTTGCTTATAATGTGGAATTAGAGCTTGGCTACTATTTCTGCAGTTATCTTCATTTTTGTTTATCAGAGAAAAGCTTAAGTGATAGACTTCTGGTAAATCCCTGCTTTCAACCAGTGACTAGTCTGGACTAAGATTAACCTTTCACCCTGTGCAACCTAAGTTGCAGGCCCACTGTATTAAATTATCTGCTTTGGTAGAATTGCTCTTGCACAGCTACAGTTCTCCACACTTACCCCTCTATTGTCCTGAGGTTGGAAGGTATATGTAAGTTTCAGTTCCTAACCAGAGCATTCATTCTTCCCAAGAAATGAAGTTGTGTTTTTTAAATTAAACAACCAATCAATTCTGATCTTCCTCCATGGGGAATGAATGCTACCGCAACATCTGTGGCTTGCAGAAATCACTGTTTTAAACTAACGAGCTGGAGCAGCCCCCTCCTTAAGGATTCTTGTGGGAGAAAAAAGGAGTACCTGGGGAGATAATGTAAGGTGATGCTCCCATGACAAAAATTAGGTGGAATAAGGAAAACATCTTTTCATTCTTATTCTCTCCTTCTAAGACTGTTGACTGTTTTAGCTCCCAGTGAACATTATTCTCTTATTTATAAAATTACACCTATGCAAATGTGCTGGCAACAAATAAGCTGGTCACTAAATCTGTGTATGTGTGCTGTATACTTACTACCACACTGAGCAACCATAAGGATGTGCTAACATGTAAGTGTTAACTAAGGAGAGAAGACCATGAACCCCTCTTCTTTCTTGTTCACCAGATACACGGTGTTGAAAGAAGAGACCTTGGATTCTAAACTTAGACTGATTTTCTTATTCATTTTTAAATAACTGTATAGTCACACTAATTCCATACAAAGAGATTCCTTGCAGACCTGTTCCCAATTTTCCCCAATGGTAACATTTTGCATACCTGTAGTACTGTATCCAAACCAGGAAACTGGTATTCCTACAATTTTACATGCACTAATACATGCCTGTATTTAATTCTGCATAATTTTGTCACATGTGTGAACTGCTTTTGAATCCTAGCCATGCCAAGTACTGGTTGTGTGATCCTAAGCAAACCCTTTCACTTCTGTGATGTCCAGTTTCCTCTTTTACAAAGGTGATGTGAGGATTTGGTGAAATAATTCCTGTTGAGTTTCCCTGGATTTTCAGTAAAAGCTAATTTCCTTTTGTTCTATCCCTAGTTCTCTTGGTGCATTATAATAAAGCAGACAACACATTTAACTCTGCAGCCCAAAGAGATAGCCACAGGAGTAACTTTGGGACCTGGTATTGGGATCCTTTTTTGCATCCAAAGGAGAAGTGTAAGGATGGAAGAGTGAGAAACCCAAGACTTTGGGTGTTCCTGTGGAATAGGGGTAAGAAACTGGTGGTGGTAAATACTGAGCAATCTTTGGAACTACCAGCCCCAAGGAATTTCTGTTCTGTGAGGCTAGTGACCAGTTTTTTGGATGCATCCACAGGCTGCAGGATAGCGGTGCGAGCCTATGAGGATATGGGGGACAGGTGTGGACGCCAATCTAAAACGGTAGGAGCATCCTGGCTCCTGAGGGTTCCGAGTCAAGCAAGTCTTGTGCTGCGCCTATTCTAGGGCCCTCTTTCAATGACTGCAACAAGGCGCTCGAGGGTTGAGAGGTCCAGGGCCACAGAGTAAATGAGGCACCTGAATCCTCCACTGAAAGTCTTCCTGGTTGGACGCGAGGGCCTTTCCACCAAACCGAGAAGAGGTCAGCTGGGTATCCTGGGAGTGTGAGGTGCGTTTGTAAGGAAAGGCAGGGCTTTAAGGGTAGAAGCGTCAGCTCCTGCCCCGCGGCGACCTCGGAGCACTGGACTCCACTTGCAAGCTCTTGCGCCCTGGGGTTTCGAAGTTCAAATCTCCGTAGCGACCGCCCAGTGTCACGCAGCAGCCAAGCCGGGA